TATCAGAACTCGTTACATTCTGGATTTTTATAATCTATTGATTTCTGAAAGTACCTTATTTGAATTATCACGGTAGAAGTATATTGGGTGTACAAAAGAAGAATCAATATTAATTCGATTTTCACTGGTTCAGCAATAAATATAGTGCGAGTTCTATCTTCACAAAAAGAAATTTCTCGTGAAATATTGTGTGCAGAAATATTCATTTACAATTTATTTGAGTGAATGCGTAATATAACTATTATGATTTTATCCATATTTTGAAAAAAGAAATTTATATTATATATGCACCAGTCCCAGTTGTAACTGGTGAACTGGGTACCAGTCCGACTGGGTACCTAGTCATCCTACCTTTGTCCCATCAATTGAGTATTATTTTCTTCTATTCTGGTAAGGATGTACCTAATCGAGTCGAATCGTGTCAAACTCAAGCCCAACCCTAGTACAATACTGTCAAATCCAGCGTTTTGAGTGGGCAGGCTTCGGATTTGGTGCACGCCTAGAATGACTGTACTCCAATATATTAGAAAATAGGAAAATACTGTCCGATTAGCGAAGTCAAGATAAAATACCTAAGTACCCAGTCGCGACTGGGTACCCAGTCATAACTGGGTACCAGTCGGACTGGGTACCCAGTTACTGGTACTGGTGCATGTCTAATTTATATATCTTGCTGATAAAGACATACCGACGCTGATTGTTGATTGCTGCTCTCATTTGTCAAATAATTTTTAATTAATTTTGCATTGAAATTCGGAACCAAGCCTGGAGAGCTAACTCCGGTGTAAGGTTGATCGACTTGTGTAAAAAGATGTATTATATCAATGAGAAGGCCAAAATATATGATGGTCGATTCAATACATTGATTAATAGCTGCAGCTAATTGATCATCAAAGCTGATCTTTGGGACCACTTGTAAACTGACAAATGGTCGTTCAAGAAAGCGACGGACAGCATCATCGATCGTCACATTAGCTAGTTCACATAAAACTGACAATAGTTGAAATTGTGAGACAATATTACCACTCCAGTCAAGAGGTGTATTTTGAGAGGTAATAGCTGTAAGCAGTGCTATCCAGGAATCTTTGATGAAATCACTAGTACAAACTTGATGTAGTATCGGTGAAAATGACATAAATTTTTGATAAGTAGTGCTAATCTTCGAACAAGGACATTGGGTTGTAGAGAAGTACAACAGTTGTAACTGATTGTAAGTTGTTAACGATGGACTTGATACAGTGATCTTTTTACTTACTGTACTCAGCGAAGTGAAAAGAATAACAATAATTACCGAACCTAAAGATATAAGGTCAAACATAAATTTAGTAAGCCAGATGAACACTATGATTCCTTCTGAAATTAAAGCTCATGGTATCAAGGAGCTGCATCAGTTGAAACTATAGTTACTCATGGTGCTAACACAGTATCGAGGATTTGCTGAGGAAGGAAACTCATGGCGAGAAAAATGCAGAAAATTTTATATTCATCAGTTTAATTCAAAAATGGAAATGGAATTCCTTTCGAAATGACAAGATAAAACTTAACCAGCTCTAGAATATTTTTTTGAAGTGGAAATATTTCAGCTGAATTTTATTGCATTTCACTTGTCTTAATATTATTCAATATTAAAAAGTACTTCTCATATTCTACGAAAAGTAGTGTATCCGAATATAACACCAATTTCAGTGGATGAGCACGAGAGTGAAACCCTTATTCTGGCTGATCCACTCACAACCACAATTATCCGTCCACTAAAAGCATTCATACCTGCGAATAAGATCATAAAGATGCGTGTACCGATCAATTGACGCTGGATAGAATCTGCTTTTCGATTATTAGTCGACCTGAACAAGTTTAACTGTTTTATCCATTCAACGAAATTGCGGACGCAGGCAAGAAAATATACTAGAAAACAAAGTTGAAATAAAACCCATGACAATACCTTCGGCATAATCAAAATTTACTCCTCTGAAGCCTGAAACTGGTTTTGGTAAGAATAAGTTTCGATGAAATTTTGACCAACAAAGGTGAAATTAAACGCAAAATCATAACTAAACCACCATAGAGACCAAGTAAAACAGTTATTAAATACAAAAGATTGAACTTATCGACTATAGAATACGTGCAAAATAACGGAGCACATTCGGCAAAATACTTCAAATAACTGATATTAGTTGACCATCCTTCAATGAAAAGATTAGTCAACAAATCGTTCACAGAAATATTTCGTCGACTTGAAGCTGGAAGAGGATAAATCCAGTTCAAGTTACTCTAAACAAAATGAATTTAACGAGAAGATAATATTGTATTATACACACCCGTTGGAGAGTTGGAAAATAGTCTTTCAAACTTTCAAGACATTTGGTTTCATATAAACAATCAAGTGTACTTCCAAGAAGATTTGTAAGTGGGAAACCTTCTTGATAGAATCCATCGACAAAAATGGGATGGAATTGTGTCATCTGCAAAAAAGAACACCAGCGCGTGTAGTATGCATTATCGTCTATCACAAGATCTGAATGAAACTCTACTTTTGTTGCAGTGTCTGTCCAATTGTCGGATGTAGTTACAGTGTTGTTCAACGATGCATTCACGTTTTCTGAAGAAATATCTATGGTGGGATTTATAGGTGTATTGTAAGTGTAAGAAATAACTATATTCATGGTGTCTAGTGCCGAAACCAAAGAGTTTGATTTAGTTGTTATCTGAAGCAGCTTAAGTGGTATAATTATTTGAATAGGTGTTGTATTCTGAGCAACATTGACGTTTCTCATGACTTCCGATCGAATCTGATCTTCTGGAAGCAGATAAAGTGTAATTAACAAATCATTTGTAATAAGTGCTATGGCTTCAGAAACAGCAGCATTAGAGAGCGAGCACAGAGAGGCAAGAAGTTGAAACTAAATGAAGAAGAATAGAACTATAAGAAATCATATAATTATCATTTTTTTTTTATGACTGTAACCCGTTGAATTCATAATTGATTCAAGATTTATAGACAACCATCAGTACGGCGAACGATGCTATTATTTATTTAATCGATTTCTGTTCTTCAGTACTAAACACGACTTAGAAGGTGATAATGGTAAAATGTAGATAATTGAAGTAGCTGTCTCTGATCAAGTCTCACACACTCAGATAGTGCATAATTCTTATTCGCAATATTCATTTTCTGTGTGGTTTCCAGTAGTAAACACTTTTATTTATCATGGTTTATTCAAAACGGATAATATTTTGTGAATCTTGAATGTGAAACAGATTGTGAATAGTAGATGTTACAAGTGGCAATGCTAAAACAATTTGAAACATATTTTTGAGAATGTAGACATGAATAGATTTGTGTATATTATATCATATTGAATAAAATACTGACACCTCCTATCACACTTCACATCCAGTTGCTTAAAACTTTGCTGTATCTTTAATTTCTATCGATATGCGTAATGCTCGTGTCATAAGTCATATATCACTGAATAATAGTTTCTTGTTACAGAATTTACTCTATTTATTTGTCGTGATGAACATTGTTTGCTTGTGAAATATGGAAAGCGACAGTTGATTACAAGAGATTTCCAAAGCCAAAAAAAGTAACGAGAATGAGTAACATCGTCAGTTCGAAAACTCCACAATGCCACTGAAATTATGTCTAATGCGTGTTACATATCTATGATGACTAACCAATACTTAGAAAAAACGGTTTAAAAACGGAATATGAGATTCACATTCGAACATTTGCGACATTTTTAAAAAGTAGGTGGGTGTCATGATGGGAGTTCACAACATAGACAGAGTTATGTCAATGTATATAGTCTAAAACACAGGGGTTCTCGTTTATATACCAGAAAAGAATAAATCATTTGATAACAGGCAATTCTGGCTATTAGAAAGTTTCTTCAATGATAGTCAGGACGATTCTAACTGTTAAATATTCGTAAAGATTATTCTGTCTTTGACGTACATCGACAATCCGAATCTCAGATACGGAAGATGTTGCAAGGCAACAATTTTTTGTTTTAAGGTGGGCTTCTAACTCGCTAAATAAATGAATAATAGGAAGATAAAAGCAGAATAAAATATCAAGAGTTTTTAGATTCTTGTATCATTTGACTGATATAATCGTTTGTATTTCTTTCATTTCTAATATATAGTGAAAATTAGAGAACAAATATAAAATCAACAATGAGGTCAAGAATATACCTATACGTTGCACGTTTGTATTTTGAAGTGTTTTATGATATTTTGTATTATCTTTTTCACATGTAATTAGAAGGCCAAAAATATATCGAAGCATTAAACCTTATAAGAAAGTAAAGCTGATAATATTTATTTACGAGAAATGTAAAGTGGTATGCTGTCAAAATTTATTATATATGCAAAGTAAATTAAAGATATATGACTTTAAGATAATGAAATAGGTTTGACTTCTAATTACATTTAATTTATTTCAAATACATACTCTAATCTTTTGAATTCGAGAATATTCTGAGATAGCATCTTTTTTATTTAGTTCTATTTTTAATATACACTTGAAATCTAAAATTAATTTACATTAGAATATATGAATTATTTGATTTCCTTAAAGTTTAAGAAATTTTGTATTTATCCTCTCTAAGGCAAGTTATTTTATTGAAAGTAAGTTGATCCATTGCTCGAAAATCATTAAAAGATGCTTTTCAAGAAAGAAGAAATAGATGTTGAATTTATTTGTTTGAATTTCGTCTAATTAATTTTTTATATTTATAAAGAGAATATTTTTGTTATTCATATGCAAATTAGAACAAAATCTTGGAATTATTGTCTTAAAGCATCTTAGAATGACTAAAAATATTTCTAAGTTAATCTCTCGACTATATGGCTGTATTTTCTGAATGATTGGGAAGTAGTTCTAAGTATGTGTGTTCGAATCTAATTCTAATCTTTGAATATTTCTATTCAGATTTAGACTAATCCGAACCTAATCACTACATAAGACTATAACTCGTCTTGTATAGCGTTGTGGGTGCTCTTATATTTCATTTTGCTGATGAGTATCATGATTGTACAACATGTCTGGTTTATCTTTCATAAACGAATACGCATGAAAAGCAGAATAACTCCAATCACATTTATCATCTCGACAGGCAGTATGGACGATAAAGCATTTCAGACCGAACATGCACTAGAGCTTTTTGAGAAAAATATTAAATCACATGTACGGATTTGACTAAAAAAATAACTACTCTTTTTGACCGTCTTTTAATCACTTGGAAAGATTTCTCTATTACAACATAACTACAATCAGAGTGGATACTTAAAAGAACACGTATATATTATGACTTGCTAACATTGACCGTAAATTGTGGAATTCGTATGAAGAAATAATCATGATGAATATCAAAGAAGCCACTAAGATAAGTTCATTATTTTTGATTATTCTATCCACGATGACCAGCCACATTGGTGGAAAGAAGTATGAGAAAGAATAGGAAAGTGAAAATGATGATGAAAATGCCTGTTAAGAACATCGATGAGTTTGAATAAATGAATCGATTATTTTTACTTTTTTTCCTCTGTAAAGGCATAAATTTGTAAGGATTGATATTCATATGCATCTATCGGTAACAATAGCTTTCGCAGTATTTTTGATCAAGACGACATAGATAATGAGTTAAGTGATCGGTGAGATAGTGATCTATCTACGGATGACAAGCAAGCATATTTTGTCTGACAATCGCTTGTCAATTTTTTAGATGTAGTGAATCTTTTCTTGAATTTAATAATAAATAAAGAAATGCAATGACTGATCTTATTAAAGTCCTTCGATTTTACACATGTGTACTGAAGACAGTAAGTAATAGCATTTGCTTTATTCATGCAACTGATTAAAGCACGAAAGAATGTCGTATCATTCGATATCAAAAGAGTTTTATCAATGATGATTTCAATGTGTTGGTGAAGTCAATTCTGAACTAATTATCAGATGATGCATGTTTTCAAACAACGCTTCACTTACTTGAGAACTGGCCGTTGCTCGGAAGTCCTTCAATCCAAAAATACTTGCATTTGGCATATAGAGTGCATCAATCCATTGCCGATCGACGAAAAGACTCGAACATACAGGATGAAATACAATACTGTTCGAAACGAATGAACTAT